AAATAATTATGTTGTTATTAAACATGGTTTAAATTGCTTCCGCATTATTGTTAAACACTCTGCATTTTGCTACAATTATGTACTAAATAATATTTATGATGAATAAAAGTATTTGAAACGTTTTAAATTTATGATTTCCAAAGTTAATACTTTAGTCTGAAAGGGGCTGCAGACCTGGACGGATTACGGTGTTACAATTGCATTGCACGGGGAGCACTGGAGGAGTTCGCAAGATAAGAATCATCAAATCGATACCAACACGCAAACGCCGAGTGACCTCGTTTCTCGCAGATTTGGCAGGTTGGCAGATCCCGTGATGGTCGACCGTTTCCTTGGGACGGTCGACCGTTGTTCCTTTCTCCACATCCGCTGTTGTATCCACGTCCAGGTGACGGTCGACCGCGGTAGCCTCCTCTACCGCAACCTCGACCGTTCGTAGCGAGAAGTGCTGTGCGAGGTTCGGTGATGGTAGACTCGGTGAGGCTGAGTTTATTCTCCATCTCCAGGTTTATTTCTTTGGAGATCAGCCATCCTCTTTCGACTAAATTGCTTTATAACCATAACAAGTACGCTTACAAAACGAATTTCCTACTCATAAGCCACCCTTCTGGTGCTTATTGTCGTAAGTGGTGTAGTGCAAGTCCCTAGAGAAGAAAGTTCCGTAGCTCTAGGCTCTCTTATCAACGGTGTAGTAGTTCCATAACACAGTATCAAAACGTACCTTTACGAAGACTCGAAGAGTGTGGAGTTTGTCCCGAAGCTGATAAACACGAGCGGTGGACACGGAGTTGTACCGTGCGGCCAAAGCATCCTAGAGGGCAGCAGATGTGGTGAAGCCGCGAGCATGTTTGTGAACAGAGGGGCTGATGACCGCTAGGAGGCAGGCGCGGATCTGTGTGTCAACGATGGTCCAGGAGGCATACTCTAGATTATGGACGGTTTTATCGTTTTTGGAGATAGTTGGCGCCGGGGCTGCTTCATGACCATCAATCCATCCAAGGAGGAGATTAGCTGAAAGAGCTGTCTGGACATTGAGAGACCATGCCGGATAATTTGTTTCAGTGAGTTTTTCTGGGATTAAGTTGTGGAGACTCCGAAGCAAAAGTTTTACTCCGGAGGGTAAGGACGCCAAAGGATCCGACAGGGCTGCCATGGTGGGCGGCGGTCGGAAAAAAAGAGAGGCTAGGTTTTTGAGAGCCTTAGCTCTGATACCATGATACAATTTGATAATAACTTGTCTTATTGAAAGAAGTATCCTAATTTAAATATGATAGGAAAGAAAGAATAATCCTAGTAGGAAAGGAAAGAAGTATCCTAATTTAATTATACTTCTAATATCATCTAAGTGTTAGTGTACATCTGTGATGTACAACTTGGTGTACAAGTAGCCTTATTCATAGTGTATTTTATGGGGGAGTGAAATGAAAGGCTAATTTGGATTTAAATGAAATGGAGTAGTAAAGAAAGTGGAGTGCAATTAGTAATATTTGAACTCCTATTATCCCTTGCCAGAAATGAAGTGTGAGATGCATTTTTAGAAAATAATAAAATACTCCGTATAAAATATTGGGATTAAAAGGGAGTGAAGTACATTTGATGGCCTATGGAGTGCCAATATTAATTTAAAAATGCTTTTAAAAAATGATAATGAAATCTTTAATATTTCAAAAACTGAGTAGACAGTCACCTACACACATACTCCCTCCGTCCCTAAATAAACTTCTCTTTTTGAATTTTTGATGATTTAAGAGAGGGATATTTTTGTGTTGACTTTCCAAAAATACCCTTGATGTGATGTGTAAAAATAAGATGTGATATGTAGATTATTAGTAAAAAGGTATGATGTGATAGGTAGGGTATGAAAAAGTAAGGGGTAAAAGGGGTTTTTTGAGAGAAAAGAAAAGTTTATTTGGGAACAGAAAAAATGAAAGTGAAAGTTTATTTAGGGACGGAGGGAGTAATAATAAGAGATATTGAAGCCCGAACTAAAGAGAACAAAAGCCCAACCCATGACCACGTCCAACTCTTCCAAAAAGTACTATTTCTGACACTTGTATTTTACTTTACCTTCGGAAAAATGAACCTCCGCTCTCTCCCCCTCGTGAAATCCTGACATTTCTCTTTTACTACTCTCTAGTCTCTAAAATATGTAAAGAACAAAGTTAGTTGCTGAAAAGGAGGATGAAAGTTTAAAAAGCTAAATGGAAATTTGTCATCCGATGAAGCAAATCTACGATCGTCTCAAAGATTCATTGTAAAACTTTGCTCTTCTGGAAAACTTTGCATTTCTTCCCGTTTTCACTCTTTTTTTCTGATCCAGTTTCACTTATTGACTTCTGGAGTACTTTTGAAACATATAGAATTATCATGAGGGTTTCCTTTTTCGTTCTCTCTCTCTTAGCTTTCTTCAGCCTTTGCCTTCACTTTCAAGCTTTCGCTGCTGCCCCTGCTGGTAATTTCCTGCTCTAGGTTGGTTTGTTTAGTGGCTGAGTGAACGCTCCGATTAGCGTTTAATTTTCTGTGAATTTCAGGGCCACTGGGAAAGCAATTGAAGTCTCTGCTCAAATGGACTAGTCGGACTTCCACCAAAACTCCCCAATCAGGTAAAACCCATTTGGGATTTGTTTGAATTTTCGATCTGGGAGTATTTGGCTGTTTTATAATTCTGGAGCTTGGAATCTTGTTTTTATTTAAAGGGCATTGAAATTTGTGCTGAATTTTTTTACATGTGCTTGTATTTTTGGGATACATAGATGGGAATGTTCTTCAATTTGAAGACGGGTACTTGGTGGAAACTCTTGTCAAAGGAAATGAACTCGGAGTTGTGCCTCACAAGATCCGTGTCTCGCAGGATGGTGAACTAGTTGCAGTGGATGCTTCTAGTAGCAATGTTGTCAGAATTACTCCCCCGTTGTCCCAATGTAAGCCTATCCACTTCTTCTTCCATCCTCATACTTTGGGTAGTGTAGTGTTTTTTTTTCCAGCTTTGAATTTATGTTGTTGATTGAAGATTTCGTACGTAATGTTGATTATGCATCTGTGTCTCGTAAAAGAACAGTTAAAATACCTTCTATTATTTGGGTGATGGACACTGAAGTGTTTTAAATACAAAAGCATATTTAAAAGATGAGAAAAGAGCACCGTTTACCCCCGAATTCTTTGGAAATTGCATGATTTACCCTTGAACATTAAAAATTGCACCGTTTACCCTTGAACTCTTTGAAAATTGCACAATTTACCCCTGAACATTTAAAAATGCACCAAATACCCCTGAACAATTTAAAACGTTGCACCGTTGGTTCTAAAATGCTATATAAAGAGCGTATTGCTCCCACGCACCGTTGGTTCTAAAATGTTAGATAAAGAGAATTGTGAGTATGATTAATCTGGTCCTCGTGAATTCTCTAAAGTACCCTTCCCCAAAATTATCATCTTTATTCAAATGTTCAGGGATAAATCGCGCAATTTCTAAAGAATTCAAGGATATTTGGTGCACTTTTTAGTATTCAGGGGTAAACTATACAATTTGTGAAGAATTCAAGGATATTTGGTGTACTTCTTAATGTTCAGGGGTAAACCGTGCAATTTCTGAAGAATTCAGAGTAAACGGTGCACTTTTCTTTTTAAAAAATGTTTAAAATTTTTTATGAACAATAAATATAAATCTCTCCGTCCCTAATTAAGTTGCTTGTTTATGTTTATATATGGTCAAATCTTCATTCATTTTCTTTCCCTATTTTCGTTACTTATTTGATGGAATAATATAGTCATGTTAGCACTTGTTACGTAGAGCATTTGATGTAGTTTTTTTAATATGTAAAGTTATTTTTTTAATTCTGCTCCAATTCTCTAATAAATCACATTGAAAATAACTTCAGTCAAACATTCTAAACCAAAACAAACAATTTAAATTGGGACGGAGGGAGTCCAATACTTTATTTAAGTCTCATTCTATTAACTCACTTCAATTTATTCAATCAAATTACATAATCTTTAATCATTAATTAAATAAAAACAGTACACAACATTACATTTTTTAATAAAATGATTTAATTATATTTATCTTGTGAAGAATTCAAAAAGTATTTCATTATATTGTTATATAATGTATTTAATATTTAAATATTTCTCTGTTTCCTTAGAGCGAATTCAGCGTAGCCGCGTTGGTAACTTCATGAGTTGCTTAGCATATTTGGATTGAGTTGGCACTTGAAAAATTATAGGTGGCAATCAAAAAGGTTAAAAGATTAGGAAATGTTGCTTCTGGACAATACGATTCTTGAGGAAAAAGTAAGAAAAAATAGTTAAGCACGCATCTTATGGACAGGCACTAAAGTTGCTCTAATTTGTGGGTGGCTTTAACGACTTTCAATGGCCCCAAAGTTCAAGGTTTGTTTATAATGTGTTGTGAAGGATATCCTTCACTCCAAACTTTGTTTCTATTATTCTGATGAATTAAGTTCCGATTATTTCTAGTTTCTCTTTGGCTTGAGTCATCTAGATTTAGAGCGCCTTAGACTAACCCTAAATGATAATTAGTTAACACCTTGTACTTTGAATGTCTCCTTCATTTGGTATTGCTGGCAAATTTGGAAAGCGTTATTTGGTTGAAATAGCCAATAAGAATACGTGTTCTCAAATGCTACTTAACTTATTCTGATTGCTTAGCTAATTCCACTCAAAGTAACTGAAATTTTAAATAATGAATGTTCAAGCCATTAAAATACATTTGTTCAATTGTAGAATGTGGGGCTGATAAAATAAATAGAGTTGTTTTTTTTAATGAAAAAGAACCATGTTTGGTCATTTTGGAATTGTAATTTGGTGATCAATGCAGATTGTAGGGCAAGGTTGGTTGCTGGTTCATTTAAGGGTCATACAGGACATGTTGATGGAAAACCAAGTGATGCCCGTTTCAATAATCCAAGAGGAGTTGCCATGGATGATAGAGGGAATGTATATGTTGCTGATGTATCAAACCTTGCAATAAGAAAGATAGGAGACTCAGGCGTGACTACGATAGCTGGAGGGAAGTCCAACTCTGCTGGGTATAGAGATGGGCCAAGTGATGAAGCACAATTCTCAAATGACTTTGATGTGATTTATGTCCAGCAAACATGTTCGTTATTGATTGTGGATAGAGGAAATGCAGCTATCAGGCAAATCTCCCTTTATCAAGAGGATTGTGGTTACCAGCAAAGCTCTGTCTCTGCCATAGGTATGACTCCTCCCAAATATGAAAGTTCTGTCTCGGGAATAGGTATGAATCCTCTATTATATGATGCACATATTGATGGGATCTATGCTGGGCTTTTATTTATGGTCTTGTCAATAATCTACTGTTACCATTTTCAGGTGTTGTTCTAGTTGTTTTTGCTGTAGTGACAGGGTATGTTGCATGCACACTTCAGCAGGGAATTGGTTCTACCATTTTCTCCACTGCAGTATGTTGTTTGTTCTAATCTCCATATATCATCTTTTCACCCTCAATTAAACCGTAACTTACAGAGTTTGTTTGGATAGAAGGTTTTAGACAGCTAAGTTTATATCTTGAATTCTTGAATCTTGATGAATATAGACGCACCACCTCTTGTTTTGTAAAACATCTGTTGTAGTTTTTAAATATACGGAGTGTAAATTAATTATTTTTTTTGCATTTTACACCAATATTTAGGAACTGAATTTATTATATACACTCGAAAATATCAATCAAATGTCAAGACATAGACAGACTTAGAATGTATAGCTCCGTTTATGTTTATCGATCTGGACTGCAGGGAAATGCAGAGGGTGAGGAGGATCAAAGACAGCAGCTGATCAGGAGGGAGAAGGCATCTCCTGTTGAAATAAAAAATGTTTATCCATATGGGTTGCAGGGAAATGCAGAGGGTGAGGAAGATCAAAGACATCTTCTGATCAGGAGGGAGATTGAATCTCCTGTTGTTGCAATGGAAAAGGACGATAATCAAGTAGTAGTGGGTGGGTGGGTGTCTTTGGGGCAGCTTATGTTGGATTTGGCCAAGCTCTCACTTGAAGGGGTGGCTTGCATTTTTGCCCTTGTTATTCCACTGCAATTCAGGAGCCGTAGAGGCAGGCCCAGTCTCACTCCTTTGAAAGACCGTCTTGTCTTGCCGGAAGATAGTGACAACTTTCCGGAGCACCGGGGAAGAGCTGCTGCTGCTTCTCAAGCTGCGCCGCCCATCTCCAGAGCGGTTCTTCAGCCGCCGCAGAGTGTTGGTAATATTCCTCCTATTCAAGAGGCTAGGCAAAGCAGGCGTCGTTCTTCCAAACCCCAAGGGTATGCCGCCATGTACGATGCACAAACAGCTGAGGTTCAGGTTCCCAATCAGCAGCTGTCTAGGAGCGGACGGTCAAAATCTCGACATGAGAAAAGCGCAAGGAAAGATTCGAACCAAGTGGGGATGAATGTCCCCCACTCCGGGGTTCAGAGCATCGATCGTTAGCAGGTTCAACTAGTATCTGTAGTTTACGAACCGAGTGGCAGTCCCAGTTGTGAATCTTCATGAAATCTACATTGCACTCCTTGTTTCTATAACAAAGCATAAATACTACTCCCTCCGTCCCAAATTAAATTGCTTGTTTACACACACACAGAGACACATATTGCCACACACATATTCTCTAATGATGTATCATTACTTAATAATTTTTTACTATAATGTTTTATTAATTAAAACTATTTTCATTAGTACTTCATTCAATAATGGCCATTAGTTTTGTATAAAATTTTTGTTTTAAAATAAACATACCAATATACGTTTCACTAGTTTATAACATATTTTGTTTACACAATCAAATTATATCTATAAATATTTTTTAACTTTATCGATGTTTTGAAAAAATAAGTTTCGTATGATTTTTAAAAACAATAAATCATTTCTCTTTTACTACTTTAAAAAAATACTTATAGAATCTTTAGTCCATGTACATCTATATTTAAAGTATAATATTTGAAAAAAGATATATATCTTTGAGTAAAAAAAATCATCTAACACATACTCCCTCTGTCCTATATCTATCTTTCCAAGTTGACTAAAACTCATTTTTAAGTGTCTAGTAATTTTGCCTTTGACTCTCAATTTTACCCTTCTTAAAAATAAAAAATCCAGATCCCCACCTCTTTCCGGCAACTGGGCGATGCAACTAGCCACAAACGGCGGCAGTGGGGCTGAAAAAAACCTAATTCTATCCAGAAAAAATGAAAAAGAAGACTAAAAAACTAAAAAAACGAACCAAAAATTGAAAAAAAACTAAAACAACCAACCAAAAAAAGCTTACCTTCTTTGGATCCCCGTTGCAGATCTGACATTTGGTGAAGTGCTTGATGAATCGCTGATGATATCACAGTCATATCGGCGATGGTGAAAAGTGGTAGATCGAAAGGGGGGGAGAGACTTGGAAACCGAACCCTAGATCTATAATTTTGAGAAGGAGGCGAAGAAAGGAGAGGGAAGAGAGAAGGAGAGAAGTGAATCTATAGATTTTGAGGGAGATGGAAGAAAGATGAAGATTACCTGGGTATGAGAGGGAAGAGAGATGGAGGAAGGAGAGAGTAGGAAGAGCGAGAAAGAAGAGAGACGAAGGAAGCCGGGAGAAGAAAAACGGAGGAAGCCAGAGGGTAACATAGTCTTTTTACCTCCTTTTTTAAGAAGTTGAAATATAGTTTTAGGACGGAGAAAAAGGAGAAGTGAGAAGATAGTTTTAGGACGGAGGGAGTATTATGTCCCTATCAAAAAACTAAAATAAATAAAATTATATTTATATAATGTCGAAAATTTAGAATATATATATAAGTCCGTGCGAAGCACGAGGTTAACACTAGTACAGCTATATGTGATAGATATATATCAGGACCGGCCCATAGGGGGACGGACTGCCCGACCATACCGGCCCAATAAATTACGAGGGCCCAGTTTTTTTTAAATATTATAAGTATATTATGTAAGCCCATTAATTTATTAACCCAAACGCTAAAGCCCCAAATCCAAGAAGTAGACTCCAGCAGGCAGCCGTCCAGGTCCAGCATTCCATATTTTTGCGATCAGTTTATCTCGCCTATTTCGCGACCAGAGACCAGCAGCACTCCAGCGACAAGAATTCCCAGACTCCGGCGGCGGAAGAACAATTCAGACTCCAGCGGCGCGTAAGATTCGCTCTTCACTCCAGCATCCAGAATTGGTATTTATAAATCATAATTCATATTCATTCTTCATTCTTGGAATAAATTAAAATTGGATCTAGGGTTAATTGAATAATTGTTAATTGTTATTTTCTTAATTCATATTCATTCTTCATTTAATTATTTTAGTATATTAAATCTAAGATTATTATTTAATTGTTATATTGTTAATTAATAATCTTTGCCAGGATTATATAAAATTATGATTCAATGTGTTCTTCATTTGATATGCAAGAATAATACTACTATGATTTTGTCATTTACTCATTTTGTTATTACACTATGACGTTAATTTTCATTTAAATATAATTAGTTTACATACTTTAATTTATTAGGTCATTACACATAAGGCCTTTAGGGCCATTTTTTTCTGTCTCGGCTCAGGCCATTGAATTCTCTGGACCGGCCCTGGATATATGTAAGTATTAGGATTATTTGATGTTATTTTAATTTTTAGAGTGCTCTGTATAGGATATTGAATGATCTGAAGTACAGAGATCTTGGTGTTTAATTTGGTCTGTTGGTTGTGAGGGATTGAAAGTCATGGCAGCTCCAGATGGACTGAGAACAGGAAGTGCACCACCAAACTATAATTCCAATTCGGTTGCAGATAATATCCAAAACCTTCAAATCAGTAGGCCCAATCAGCCAACAATGCCAAGGCCTACTTCAGCTTTTGGTCAACAACCTCAGCACCGCTCACCATTTGGACAACAGCCACCTCCCTTTTCTACGGGGCCTCCCATGGGTCGTCCAGTTATGCCCCCTCCTGGCGCAACACCAAGGGGCATGACTCCCGTAAGTCCTGGGACACAAAATGCAATACCTCCAAATGTGGCTACTAGACCAACAAGTTCTCCTTCAATAGCACGCATTCCTCCTCCTTTTGCTTTCAGGCCTCCACATCTGGGTGATTTGCCTTCAATAAACCCTAGTCCCCAACAGGGCCCTTTTATGGACTTGCCATTTGGATCAGCCATTGCGCCACCATCAAGCATTCCCGCAAGTAGTATTGGGCCGCCTGTGCTTGGGTCAGGGCCAATGCATGGTGGAACGGGATTGCCTCCTACAGCCAATGTGTTGAGGCCACCACGAGTTGGACCTCCACCAGCAATGGTTTCATCTGGAACTCCTTCTCAGCTTCCTAGCAGGCACTCCCCTTTTGGTAGTCCACCTCCAGCTGCACAGGTTACACCACAGCAGCCGATTCCTTTTTCATCACCACATCTTCCCTCACCATTTGCACCACCAGTCCAAGGTGCACCTCCACCTACACACTATATGCAGACTTGGCAAACACAACCCAATCAGGTAGTATTTATGCTTTATCTAACACTTCACTTACACTTATTTAAGGCTAGAAGATAGTAAAGAGTGCATTGCGATTAATTATCTTGAAATATTGTGCTGTTTCATGTGCAATCGCGGCTCATATTTCAAACCTTTGCTATCTGCATTTTTACCTAATTTTTTTTACTCTTTGACACAAATACTGCAGAAACAAAACCACTTTTGTCAAACTGAAAAGTCTTGGGGCTGGGCATGCATATAGTACTGCTTTTATACTGAGTTATTGGGCATAGATTCTGAGTTACTAATTTCCTAGGTGGCTGCTCCTAGTTCCATGCAACTTCCAAGGACATATGGAATCCCCCCTCCACTTCAAAGTCAATCAGTGGCTTCTATAGCTCCTCCTCCAAGTCACACGGGTGCCCCTGTGATGGGACCATCAAAAATCGATCCAAATCAAATTCCTCGGCCAATCCCAGGTTCTGCTGTGATTGTCCATGAAACTCGACAAGACAACCAAGCCAACCCTCCTCCGGTAATGGCTCTTAGAATACAATCTAGCAAACTTTTACATTCATAGTTAGTTATTAAGTCATTTGAATATTGATTACAGAAGGATATAATTTGCTCCCTCCATCCTGTTTGTTACACAAAACACCTTTTCAAGACTTGTAAATGTCAGTGACACTTAAGTTTCTACTTTCGACACTACTTTTATACTGATCTTCTACTTTAGCAGTACATCTCTCTCTCTCTCTCGTGTGTGTGCGCTTGTGCATACATACATTCATAATACGTGCCTATCTGTTTCAGGAACACTTTTTTTGATTTGAGATAGCATATCGAACTTCTAACTTATGCGCCCAAATTTGTGAAGCGAGATACATACATACCTACCTACTATACACACTTACAGACATTATTATGCGAAATGGAAACAACATAAATGGCTTCTAGCTTAAGTTCCTAGAATTTCTCAAGATACTTTATAGTTCCTTTTTTGGTTAACCAACTATGTTAAACTCTATTCCCAATCAATTCTACCATTTAATTTGTGTTAATGTTATGGTTATTGCTGATGCATAATTCCAGTTTGTTTATCTTGCAGCCTGCTACAAGTGACTATATTGTCAAAGATACTGGAAACTGTAGTCCACGCTACATGAGGTGCACAATTAACCAGGTACCTGAAATTCCTCTAAAATTTCATTAGAGCACAAGCGTTACCGTTTTTTCTGCAAAAGAGTTTCCCTATAGTACTGTGCTTCTTTAAATGCAAGAAATACTATTAATTTGTACCCCAACTGTTTATGCTGCAGATTCCTTGTACACTTGACCTCTTGACGACATCTGAGATGCAGCTGGCTCTGTTAGTGCAGCCCTTGGCTCTTCCACATCCCTCTGAAGAGCCCATTAAAGTATTTCTTCCTTCACCATAACACAATTGTCTCACACAAATTATGCCCTTTCTTTTTTGGAATGATTTATTAACTGACACACAGTAACAACTTCATGAGTTTTTTTGTTTTCACAAATTGCTTTTGTATCTAACTTGGCATTCAAATGTAAGTTCTAGTATAATATTAACACTTGTCACCGTTATCCAAATTTAAATTTTAATTGGATTCTGATAAATTTTGTTACTTTGTTCATAAATTTATAAAAAAATTTCAACAAAAGAAAGAAACGAGAATTTCAAGAACATTCTATATTAACCTAACACAAATGCAATAACTACTAACCTTTGAAAATTTTAAGAACTTCAAAAGGCTGATATAAGATTTGTTGGGCTCTCATATTGTTTGTTTGTTTTATTTCTTCTTCCCCTTATACATTTTCTATAACACTTGCCGGTTTAGGTTATTGATTTTGGAGAAAGTGGTCCTGTCAGGTGCTCTCGTTGTAAGGGCTACATAAACCCTTTTATGAAGTTCATAGACCAGGGCAGACGTTTCATATGTAACTTATGCGGTATGTATACGTTATAATGTTTTATCACCTATTTTATGTTTTATTTTCACAACAATGAAGCATGTACACTTCAAAAGCAGTGATGTATTTGTGTTGGACACTTTGGGACATGGAGAATTGGAGACACATCCGGAACATGTCCAAACTCTTTTTTTCTTCTAATATGAGGACACACAAGAACACTTTGGGGACACCCAAGGACACTGGGAACACATTGAGTG